TTTTTTTTTGCAATGAGGCATGTTTTTATACTAAAATATCTGAATTACTTTGAATAAAGCTGGAAATTATGTCCCTTAAAATAATTAAACAAATAAGGCACCAATGTTTTTGTAAGATATTTACATCTTTAAAGGATATTCGGTAGACTGATTCCCCACTGTTAGTTCAACCCCAAAACTTTTTTGTATTCAAAATTAATTATGACAATGTATATTTATATTGAAACAAACTATGTTAAAGGGAATTATATTATATAACAAAGGGCAAGGTCACCAGAGTTCAACTATGTTTTTTTCAGTGGCTGTGTGACCTTGTGTCTGACACATTCATATGCAAATGACTAATCTGTGAAATAAACAGGGGCGGAGACAAACCACTCAAATGTTTGGAAACACTCATTGTGTGTCAGATAGCTACTGATAACACATCCTAACATTGCTTTGTCTTGAGTTTATCTTTGAAACTTATAGGCACACAGATTAAACCTGTGTTGTTGATTCTGGAAAACACTACTGAGGCTGCCTTGCTTCCCTTCAGAAAATCTACATTTTAACCAACTTACATGACATTCTATGTTATGTTGACTTTATCACGTGAAAGTTTATAGTGCATTTCATCAATTAATAAATGAATGTGAAAATCGTAATTTTCAACACAAATAATAGTCTCGCTACCTTAAAAAGACAATAAAATATAAAACAATCAATAAATTATGTTTACTTTGTTATAGAGTGTATCCCGGCTGACGGCGGCTGCCGCAGAGCTTATGATTTGAGTCATTGTTCATTGTTATCAATTTGCTGTCTGTATTTTTTAAATTGCTCTTATTGTGTGCTTAAAAAAACATCAGCCAAACTTTCTTGTTAATAATTAGAAGTATATTTTGTTCAAATGTTCTATTAAACCACAGATTGTTACTTTTTGCAAAGTCACATTATTGGAAAAATGGCTTGAGTGCATGTCAGTTTTCTCCCTTTTAACCCGTAATTCTGCGTGAATTGACACTCGTATGTGTGTATCTAATGACATATCAGTGGGAGTGTAACATTGCATGAATCAGATTAATATCAGTGTGAACACCCTCAACCTTGATATGTGAATTACATTTCCTCATACATGTGTCAGTTTTAATTCACACACAATACCGTAATGACTAGATTTGACATTGTTACCAATCACATTACACTGTTGCGTATTGTACAGTATTGTTTCCTTTTTTTTTTTTTAGTCTGTCTTTCTTGGTTTCCCCATTTATACAAATGCTTAAAAAAAGAAACTACCAGCAATTTAATATTAAATAACTTTTAATATAGTATATATGAAATAATAGTAATAATATTTGGGAACACAAAACTGACTGACTATTTTTTGAGACAAGTGGCTACTTTGCTGTATGAGACCAAAACTAAAATCCACACTCAAGTTGTTTGCAATTTTAATAAATTATCATATTGCGATGATTATCTTCTTCAGTGAGATCATTGACCTGAGCGTTATGTCTGCTGTCAAACTACAAAATCACAGTTCCTTGGAACTAAGACTTTGCTATTCTGGTAGTTCTGTTACTCTGAGTATGAGCGAGTTTGAACTACGATGACAAATATTATCCACAAACTAATGCAGAACAATTAAATGCATGTATAACCATGATGTATCAACCAATTATCTACACATCAGTGATTTCAGGTGATGAGGATTTTGTCACATGACAGACTTGGATTACAAACCCCTATTTTGGAAAACTGTACTTTACGAATCATCTGCTTATTTTATGCTAATTAGGCATCATGTTAGAGCATGTTTAAAATCAACTTTCTGTGGGTATTATTGTCATGGTATATGCAAATAATTGTTATTATTATACATCTGTCATCGTAACGCCCTAAGTTACAGCGTGCAGTAATTTTGCGATATTTTACGGTGTATTTTCATCCTACCATATAAGGAAATGCGAATTCCAAATATGGAATGATTACGCGTGTAAGTGGCCTCGAATAATAGAAATAAACATGGCTGACACCAGAGTTTGACAGGAGTCCACACTCCACAGAAGTTCACTGATTCTGTTCTAATCCTTTTGGATTTTAGCATTTCATGATGTGCGTCACGCTCTACTGTCTTTGTGCATACTTTGAGGTATCCTCGTAATAACCTCATATTACACAACATGGAATAATTTTGAGTGAAAATAAATGGAGCTATGGTTTATTTATCTATTATTTGAATGTGTTTTTTTTTTAAATTAATTTATATGTTTGGTTATTTATTTTATATTTTTGAATTATTTTATCATGTGATTTTTCTAACGTTTTCAGGAGCCATTCACAGCATTCCATCCTGATAAAGTTCTTGTTGGTAAATTCTTAAAACCACTCTACCTTGGGGATCTTTGTGAAGAAGACCAGAAATTGGTGAGTATGGTTTTGATTTTAGTCGTCTGATTAAATCTAATGGTGGCTTCAATTGCTCCTAAATTCTCATCACAAGTGCCTCCAGTCGTAAGTGTACAGACACAGACTGGTTGCTAATGTCCATTGCTTTTGGTTGCTAGTATACATTGCCTCCGGTTGTTAGTGTCCATAGGTTAGTGTATATCACACACCCCTCTGGTCGCTAGTGTATTTACATCTAGTCGTTTTTGTTCATCACTTCTGATCACCAGAGAACAAAGCATCTGGTCATCGTGCATCATGTCTGTTTGCTAGTGCACAGCCTTTGATTGCTGATGTTCATCACCACTGGTTGCGAGTGTCCATCACCACTGGTTGCTAGTGTCCATCACTACTGGTTGCTAGTGTACTACACCACCACTGGTTGCTAGTGTACTACGCCACCACTGGTTGCTAGTGTACTACACCACCACTGGTTGCTAGTGTTCATCACCACTGGTTGCTAGTGTCCATCACCACTGGTTGCTAGTGTCCATCACCACTGGTTGCTAGTGTACTACACCACCACTGGTTGCTAGTGTACTACACCACCACTGGTTGCTAGTGTCCATCACCACTGGTTGCTAGTGTCCATCACCACTGGTTGCTAGTGTCCATCACCACTGGTTGCTAGTGTCCATCACTACTGGTTGCTAGTGTTCATCACCACTGGTTGCTACTGTCCATCACCACTGGTTGCTAGTGCCCATCACCACTGGTTGCTAGTGTCCATCACCACTGGTTGCTAGTGTCCATCACCACTGGTTGTTAGTGTACTACACCACAACTGGTTGCTAGTGTACTACACCACCACAGGTTGCTAGTGTGCTACACCACCACTGGTTGCTAGTGTACTACACCACCACTGGTTGCTAGTGTACTACACCACCACTGGTTGCTAGTGTACTACACCACCACTGGTTGCTAGTGTTCATCACCACTGGTTGCTAGTGTCCATCACCACTGGTTGCTAGTGTCCATCACTACTGGTTGCTAGTGTACTACACCACCACTGGTTGCTAGTGTTCATCACCACTGGTTGCTAGTGTT